ACAGACAGACAGACAAAATGGTAACGACAGAAAGTACGATAGAACGATAGACAGACAGACAGACAGATAGACAGATAGACAAAATGGTAACGGCAGAAAGTACGATAGTACGATAGAACGATAGACAGACAGACAGACAGATAGACAGATAGACAAAATGGTAACGGCAGAAAGTACGATAGAAAGACAGAACGATAGACAGACAGACAGACAGATAAAATGGTAATGACAGAAAGTACGATAGAACGATAGAAAGACAGAACGACAGACAGACAGATAAAATGATAACGACGGAAAGTACGATAGAAAGACAGAACGACAGACAGACAGAGAGATAGATAGATAGATAGATAGATAGATAGATAGATAGTCATATGATCAAATTGTCTAATTATGTAGCATGGTGGTGTGTTACCTTGGCAACAGAGTCTGCAGTACAACTGTAATTAGTGAAAATAGACATCTCATTAAAACTTCACTGAGGGCTCTGAGTTTTATAACTCTAAACTATGATATCATACTGTAAGATGTGGCAAAGCACATTCAGAGTCAAACGCACAGGCAACAGAAACAAAATTAAAGCAATAAAGAACTGTTTCCACAAAAGAAATGTTTTAGTAAAGTTTCTGAGCTTGTAGTTCAGATTGATTGTGATGAGAGAGAAAGACAGGCAGTATAAAAAAATACAAGACAATCAATTGACTTTAAAAACTGCATGCAATAAAAAATACCATGCAACCAATAATTCCCAAACAAATGACTCCGAGTCGATTCCTTTAAATGAACAGGTCAAAAAGACTCATCAGTGTCAAGCTCATAACCCTCCCTTCTCTCCAAGAACTGTACTCATCCAGAGTGAGCAAAAGGGCTGGCAAAATCACTCTGGACCCCTCACATCCAGCACACTCCCTCTTTGAACTGTTGCCATCTGGTCGATGCTACAGAGCACTGAGCACCAGAACGGCCAGACACAGGAACAGTTTCTTCCCTCAGGCAATCCATCTCACGAACACTTGACAATAACTGTGGAAAGCAGCCTACTTAAACAATCGTTAGGGAGCTGTAATAATTCAGTGGAATTGGAAACAGAATTATTCAATTTCTCATCCAGGAAAATGTCAGGTTGAACGCTTGCTCTGATGAAATGTCAGAGCTGTGTTTACACCCAAACACACACCGCAGCTGCGGCTCATTTGTAACTGTGTGCCCGTACGTGTGTATGAGTGTGAGAACGAGTCGAGCTAATACAGCTGCTAACATTTAACTCATCCAGTAAATTCTCACCAGCACAGCCTCCACCCAACGGCTCACATCCAGCACATCGTGAGCTGCCTACATAGACAGCTGCCTTCTGAGATGCCAACAAAACTTAGATGTTACTGTAGAATCTTATGTTGTATTAACATCATATTCTAATGGTTTTTTTGATGTCACACATACAATCTTCCTCATGCGACGGACACCCATGATAAAATGTTTAAAGCATCTGTTTAGTTCCTTGTATAAAGACCCATTTTATACTTTGAAAAATTTATATTATAAATATGTCTAAAATATAAACAGGACATTTAGTTTCTATTAAGCTACATTACTTTTCTATTATTTTTTCACTTCTGCACGGTTAGATATTTATGTATTTATTTACTAATTTACTTTATTGAATCTAGTTTGTCAATCAAAATTTCTTGTATTTTAATCTAATTATTTATTCTACATTATTACATTATTTTTCTATATAGTCCTGTACATTAGATATTTATTTATTTGCCTGTTTATTTGAATCTAGTTCATTTTAATCTAATGTTCATTTATTTTAATCTATTTTTTTATATTGTTTTTATTAATTATTTTTACATTTTTTAAGCTTTACACACCAGACCCCAGTTTGAAAACGCTTGCTTTAACATAAATATAGAAGGCATACACAAAAATTGGGAAAAATAGTATTAATTAAGAACCTTAGAACTGGCAGGTCTCTAACACAGAAGGTATCTAATAAGGCAGCATAATCACAATCACTAAGATAGTAAAAAACATAGATCAAATCAGAGAAAGCAGTGATGTGTTTATTGAACCACTAGGTGGAGGCAAAGCCTTGAGAAAGTCAATTGCAACACATACTGTAGGCCCTTAGCACTTTACCCAAATGCCCACCTACACCTCTGTCCCGTTCAAAGTACAGCCGCTGTGCTTATTCAAGCCCTCTAAATCCTCTAAATAATGAAATAATAACTTCAAATAATACTCTTAACTCTAAATAATAACTTTTCATTACTTCTCCACCTACTGCCAACAGATTACTGAGCACGAAACATGATGAAATAGCCAAGATATTACATTCTCATAGCTCTTAGCTCATATAAACAGAGTTTAAACAAAGAAGAGCACAAATATGGCATTAAGGAATATTTCGAGACTTTTTGACAAGTCTCGGAGTTGGCATTAATGCATTTCACAATAATCATGGGCGACATTTGACTCTTGAGTCAGGGGGGGGGGCAAGAAAAAAAAAATATATAAATGAAATAAATAAATAAAAACAAAAGATTTTTTTTCGGATGTAAGCATCAAAACAATGCCCTACCTTATTGCAATGCATCAAAGCGGTCAATCCAACACGTTCAAACGGCTTATTTATTTTGGAACCAAGCAAGTGACTCTCTTTATGAATGGGTCATTGAATCATTGACTCACTAGATTTGTTCAAAAACGCAGATTCGTTTATAAACGATACACCTCTGTGTTTGCTTAGACATGCAGCTGTGACTTTGTTTGAAACTATTTTCTTTGACGAAGTAGAGCACAATCAGACAGCAGTGTTCCTAAAATGTAAGTCACTTAATATTAAGTTCTGTATAAAATCAAAAATGTATAAAACTGTTGCAAGTTCAATTTCACATTTGCAAACTCCCTTTAAAATCATTAAAAAGCTGTCACTCGTCTTAGTTCATCGAGATCTCACAAACTTCCATTTTAATTAATGAAGCTCTCCACGCTACATAATGAATCAACTATTTACATCGTCTCTACACTTCGTTTGTTATAATGAATGACAAACTGCAGTCTGTTTTCACGATCTGTGCTGTGAGGAGCAGGATGCACAGCGATAGAGTAGCATTTCTATTGGCTGCAGGTATTATGGCCAATCACAGAAGACGGCATTGCGGCAGCGAACCATAGACACAAATATATCGCGCTAGGTTTATGTGCAGAACTGGGATCCCTTTCGTAGTCTTTTGAATGGATAAAATATAGAAATCACTTTCATTTCCAAATAAACCTAACCAGTTGGAAATGAAACGCCGTCACCCCTCGAAATTTACTCCCCGGACTCCACCCCCACCCCCCATTTCCACCCCATAATTTATAGCATATATCCCATGCATTCTAACATATACTTTCTTGACATAAAACACTACTGAGTAACTGATTAAATTTTTTTTTACATTCACTAACATAATTGATAGTGCATTTAAGCTACCATCATTTTGACCCAAGTAAACCCTTGATAGTGAACACAAGCATGCTCTTTGGAAGTTTCTGTTGTCTTCAGACTGACCTGTCATGCCTCTGTCCTGTGTGGTTTCATCAGGAGGGGCTGCGCTGCTCGAGGTGGGGGGCGGAGGGGCCTTCCGCTTGGTGGACTTCTTGAAGGACGACTCTGTCGAGGATCCCCGGCTCAAAGGGGCCATATTCTGTGGAAAGCAGGCAGGGGGACAGTAATAAATATGACCTATAATTCCAAATATTTGGCTTTGGGAAACGTAACCACATTCCCTAATGACAAGGTGATGAAATGACTCAACCCAGCGCCGAGTTTATGTAGAAACAAAACAAATACTGTGAAAGCAAGGTTTAACCGCCCATTGTATTCGCAGAGTGCCGTTTATACGTAAATTCAGACGTGGTCTTTGAACTCAGGTCATGAAATAACAGGTTACAAAGTCTTGTTTGTTTTGTTTTTTCTTTAAAAGACTTCCACGACAATGAAGGCTCGCTTACAGTGGCTCCAAAGAGTGTTTGGAAACTTTAACCACACTTAAAAATGTCTGAATGTCACTGCATTTGTTTTATTTCCTATAGTTTAAAAAAAATAAAAAAATAAAAAAATAAAAAAATAAAATAAAATAAAATAAAAAATAAAATAAAATAAAATATATAAAATATATAAAATTAAATATATAAAATTAAATTAAATATAAAATATATTTTTTTATAACAAACAAAATATAGTTTGTCTGTTTTTTTTGTTTTTAATTCAAGATATAATGAAGGCTCACTTACATTGGCACCCAAGAGTGTCCCTAAACCTAAACCACACTTACACATGTCTGAATGAAATGCCTGCATCACTTTGAGAAGAACTAACTTTAAACAACCACTAAAAATCACCAAGCACCAGCTGATTAAAGGTCATTAAGCTAAATGTTGAAGAAAATTGACGTTAGTGAACAAGGAATGTTTTTATCATTTAAATCTACCAAACAACTTTTTTATTAAATATTTTGTTAGAAGTATTTGTGCTGTCTTTCTTGCTTTTACTTTGATATTTTGTATGCAAGGCAAATGACCTTCAGTCATTTTTAGTGCAGTTGAAGTGTCCAATGTCTTCACAGATTTTGTTTTTATAGAAGCTATAATCTAATATAAAGCAAAATTTAATAAATATAAAATTTGTCAAACTATAGTTTAAACTAATAATAATAAACTAATAATATAATATATTATAATATAATATAATATAAGAGCAATGGATTAATTTCAATTATGTAATAAATCAGCTTCGTGTTTGTGGATGACAGTGTACTGTATGTAAGCTTCAATCATTTTGACCCAAGAAAATGCCTGAAACTGCTGGAAAATAGTGCAGAATCCTTCCTTATTTTATGCAAAACTCTATTCTTTGCTTTCTTATGATCCAAAAACGTATTTACATGAAAGAAATCCCAGATTTTCACTGTGCTCTCAGACTTTTGGACTCCAGTGCATGTTCGTGGCAAGTTAGTAAATATTAACTGAATCCCAGAACAGCGCTACATACCTGGTTGCCATCGGGATGCACAGCGGTTTGATGACCGAGGTCAGTAGGCATGCTCTGTGACATCATGTTCGGCGGCAACGGGGCTCGTCTTTTCTTTGGCATGTCGGAGGGCATGGTGTTGGAATCATATGTAATGGGCGAATGCGCGCTGAAGGAACTCATGCTGACCGACCTCTGCTTCCTGTGCACTGGAGATGCCGGTGCGCTCACGGTCATAGACTTTAACGACAGACAGCCAATCACAAGTCAGCACACTCCCAACCAGTGCCATCAACGAGCCAATCATGAGTAAGTAAAGTCTTTAACCATTTGCATAAAACAAATATGACCAGGGAATGTTTACAAAGAAGTGAAAACACGCATGCCTTTAACCTTATCCTAACATCACCGGAAAATCTCAAAGCATGTAATCGTTCTCTTTTATAGACAGATAGGGTTTCATAACTCACCTGTTCGGATTGCTTCTTACTTCCTTTCCGAAATAAGCTGAATCGCCTCTTTTCTTTCTCCTTCTGGATTTTCTCTTTCCCATGATGAAATATTTCTGTGATTCAATGCAAGTTCAGTTAGTTTAGTTTTGTTAGACATCCTTAACTTCTTATTTAAAGGACGTTCATGCAAAAATGAATAAAATTGTAAGAAATAATTAAATTTTAAGCTAAAATGTTTGTTTTTTGTAAATAATGACATAACTTCCAAATAAATAAATAATAACAAAATAATAATAATAATTATTATTCTTATTCTTATTTGTTTTTTTGTTTTTTTATTTGAGTTATGTCACTATTTTTACTATTACTATTATTATTCTTATTTGTTTTTTATTTATTTTTGAAAGCTCTGTCACTATTTTTACTATTATTATTATTATTATTATTGTTATTATTACTATTATTGTTTAATTTATATAGAGCCTTTCCTGAGCTCAAGGACGTGTCATAATAAAAAACAATAACATGACAAGCATACAGTCAATCATATCGATAATGGACATGTGCCTAGTCTACAACAAAAGCCAATGAAGTTGCATGTACAAGTTATATCAAACTGTGCAAAAAAGCTGATTATTTTTCCTATAAAATGGAAAATGTGGTGTATTTAACATCACTTACCTGAGTGAGTTGGAGATGGAGGCAGACTTACTGGACTAATAGGACTTCCAGGACTTACAGGGCTAATAACTGCAAGAAAAAAATCACAAACCCAAGAGTACAGTATAACGAGAATGTTTTGCAGAGTATCTCAATGTGGCCTTATGAAAACCGGTCCAGCATGATTTCATAGGAGTCATTTTAATGTACTTAGCATAAACACACAGTGGGTTCTGACCTTTGGTGTCTCTCGCATACACTTCCCTCAGGCCAAAATCATTGAGGGAGCCGCTCAGGTCCAAAGTGTCTTCTGAGTGGACGTTTGGTAATAAATCCGTGGTCTGCGGGTCGAACTCACATTTCTCGCAGATCGCCGGAAGCAGTTCTCGTAGAGGAACCCGAGGACTTACCCTGAGAATGGTTTTCTGGGTTTTCTTGTAGTTGATTACTAATCGTACGGTTGCCTGAAAGAGACAAGAGAAGGAAAGTAAAGAGTACGGCAGGATTTTGTGCGGTTCCGTTTCAAAAACTCGTGAGATGCCTATGCCTGTGTTGATTGTGCCATCTTCTATGACAACTCATTTTGGATAAATCCCATAATTCAACATCCTTAGTGAAGAGGACATTCGAAGGGTGCACTTCAAGTTATAACCGCGGTTATCATAGAACTTTAAAAAACTTTAAAAAAGCTGAAATAAGTTTCATTTTATATATATACACACACACACACACACATTTTTCTTAAATATATACATGCATGTGTTTGTATGTGTATATACAGTGGGGAAAAAAAGTATTTAGTCAGCCAGAGTGAGAGCCTCTCAGCCGGTTGAAGACCAAGCGGCAGTGTGTCCGGGAACCGGACCGATAATTTAATTTTTTTTCTTTTCCTCTCTCGTATCTGTCTCTCCTCATCCTTCCATCTCCTTTTCTCTCACCTCGTCTGTCTGTCCTTACCCCGTTCTGTTTGTGCGTGACAGTCGTCCGCGAGTGGCTGTCGCGCTATTTTGTGTTTATTTTATTATTAAAGGTTTGTTTAAATGTTCGCCGGTTCCCGCCTCCTTCTTCCCGTGACTACGAACTGTGTTACAATTATTTATATATATAAATTATAGTTGAAGCACTAAAATAAACTAAAACAGAAATAAAACTGAACCTAAATATTAATATTAAAAAAAGAACAAAATCTATTAAAAATGACAAAGGCACATAACAAAACTATAACATGCTTATGTCATGCAACTCTACTACAATTAACCGTTGGTCAAATCTCCAGTGCACTACACATGAGAAGCAGTATTTGTATAATGCCATTTCAGTAGGATGCTGCCCTATGTGACAGTAGATGGCAGGATGGGTTTGAAACAAAGCTGTTATGTGCAGTTATGCTTTTTATTTGGTGTAATGTGATATTGTTTGTTGTTCGTTATGATGTGGATTGTTAGCATGGTACAGCCATGCTCCGCTGCTTTGAGTCATCTAGATATACTTCAGGCTCATCTCACAGGGTGTGGAAGAGTAGATATGCTTTTACTCATGACTAAATGAACAAACATGAACATGAAAATGACAACACTTTTTAAGATTTACAGAAACTTTTCAGGTTGACGTCAGCATCCAAATGGATCATATTTACCTTCTAAATACACATTTTTAGTTCAGAATAACACACTAATAAAATATTTTTACTAATGCTAAAGTATTTAGTGTGTAGTGTGCACAATATGCAAATGTTATGCTTGTATTTTCTGTAAATATATATTAATATTAATTTATTTAAATAAGTATAATGATGATTAAATAGTTTTACTGTTGCTGAAGTACAAAGTATGTGTACTGTGCACAATACTTATTATTTTATTTTCTGTAAATATTCATTTCTTAAAATAATAATAATAATAATTATTATTATTATTATATTTTACTATAGCTGAAGTATATAGTATGTGTACTGTGCACAAAAATTTTATTTTTGTATTTTTTGGTAAATATTGTTTATATTTGTTCATTTCTTTAAAAAAATTAAATAATAATACTACTACTAATAATAATAATAATAATACTATTGCTGAAATATATAGTATGTGTACAGTGCACAATTTTATTTTTGTATTTTTCGGTAAATATTGTTTATATTTATTCATTTCTTTAAATAATAATAATAATAATAATTATTATTATTATTATATTTTTACAATTGCTGAAATATATAGTATGTGTACTGTACACAATTTTATTTTTGTATTTTCTGTATTTTTACAGTATTGTATTTTTATTTTTAAAACTACTACTAATAATAATAATAATTACTAGTGCTTATGTATGTGTACTATGCAATATATTCTATTTTCAGTAAATTGTTTTTTTTATATTTATTTCTTAAATAATAATAATATTTTTAATGCTGCTAAAGTATATACTATGTATGTACTGTGTGCACAATTTTAAGCTTGTATTTTCTGTAATGTGCAATATAAAAAAATCACACCCTTATGATTTCATGATAGATTAACTTTTTGTGATGGATGAACTAGATTTTGTAATATTAACTGTTATATTCCTGTTTATTACTGTGAAGATGCTTTGATACAATCTGTGTTGTATAAAGAGCTATATAAATAAATGTGACTTGGCTATGTTGAATTCATATTTAAATTAATTGTACATGAGAATACCTCAGGCATCTGTGGTCCTCTCTTTTTGCTTTTGTCCTGCATGCCTTTCGGTTTCAGCAGGATCTTCTCAGCCTCTAGTGCTCCGATGAGGGCGCTGGGTTTGAACTTCACATGGTTTCTGTTGGTGGTGATGAGCTCTATGGTGTGGCCAGACGGGTTCAGGTGGTACTTCGCACAAAGCATGACCAGCAGGTCCATCATGGGCTTGCTGAAAAACACAAAAAAGCAGAAGAAGTGAATATCAGTTGCTATCAAGAGCTTTGCTATCATCTAATTTTGTGTGTCAGAAGAAATAAAATCAACAAAAATGAGTAAATTATGACAAAAATGCCATTTTCGGGTGTACTTTTCCATTAGGAAACAAGCATCTGATCTGTGAAAGATCTTTTCCATTATATTTTGTTGAGTCAAAGCCCCAGGAAACATGTGACTCTGCTGTGGGGAGTTTGCAAATGTCAAAGTTAATGACACAAGCTTTGCTATCTGTGAAGCATTTAGGATTTGCATAAATTATATTTTGCTGCAGGGGTTTCCAATGCATGTCAACGGTTTTTCACTTGATTGTTTTTCAAGTGTTCACGACAACAATGATACAGTATGAACACAAAAGGGGAATTCAGAAGAATCTGTGCACACCTTTCTTCCCTGTAACAAAATTCCTTTAGTTTTCCTTGAAATATTCCCTTCATATTGCATTAAGTTTGAACAATAAGGATCATGTCCAATGTGGTTTCTTATCCATTGACTCCCACAGGCTTCAAAGAAAACCACGTCCTATACACTTGACACATTGCATACTGAAAGTGTGGAAAATCCTTTCGAGACAGATTATGACACAAAGCTTTCCAGCTGCTTTTGGAATTCTTGGATCTACCAATCATTTAATCCTGATTAGTGGGAGGCCAGCGAGTTTGGGTGGCACAAATTTAGAAAAGCAGGTGAAGAATTTGATTATTAATCCTTCTATACTGAATTTGGTTTTGGTTTTAGCATTAAGGGGGCAATAGCGTTGAACTCAGGAAAATCTGGTTTCATTTACAGGTGTTCAAGATCAAAGAACAGAATAAAACGACGATTAAAGGGGTCATATGATGCGATTTCAAGTTTTCCTTTCTCTTTGGAGTGTTACAAGCTCTTGGTGCATAAAGAAGATCTGTAAAGTTGCAAAGACTAAAGTCTCAAATCCAAAGAGATATTCTTTATAAAAGTTAAGAATCAGCCACACCTACCTAAAACGGCTCGTTCTAACACGCCCCCACACTGTAAACTGATGGTAAAACTAACGACATTATTAACCGTCTTGATATTTATTTTGAAAGCTGGCGCTCGCGATTATGGTAAGGGGCATTACATTTCCGACGCGTGCTTGCGGTGTTTGGCCAATCACAATGCACTGAGTCAGCTGGCCAATCAGAGCAGACTGCGCTTGTCAAAGGAGGGGGCTTTGTAGAAAACTAAGCGTTTGAGAGAGGCGGGGCATAGAGGACCTACAATAATGTACAGTATTTGAAAAATAATGTGTTTTTTGAACATTAAAGCATGTCAACATATTCTGTTACACCAAATACACAAAATAATGATCTTTAAAATAGCATCATATGACCCCTTTAAATGGCGATGACAGAAATCTGAAAAGATATCTTGAAATCCGAGATCAGGTTTGTGCCAGGGAAAAGAAATTTTACTCTACCAACCCAATGTCAAAGCACAACCATGCAGTCCATATTAGTGGCATATTAGGGACGTCTCCCTGCCACCCCTGCAGCTGCCTTAATCGTGGTGTTAGCCCCCAGCCACTCTCCTTCCTCTGGAGCCATAGCCAATAGCTGGCTTTCTCTGCCTCTTCCTCCAACTCCTTCAAAACCTTCCGCAGGTTTGCCCCCACCACGCCAAACTCACAGAGTACTTGCACCATTGCTCTACTGACAAAGCCCCGGCATCCGACCTCCATGGGGTAAACCTTAGCGTTCCAGCCTGCCTCCTGGCACTCCGCTGCCAACTCTGAATACTTTAGATGTTTCCTTTCATGGGCTGCTGTGATGTTTTCTTCCCACGGGATAGTCAGCTCAATGATGAAGACTCTCTTATCCTCAGCTGACCATATGACAATGTCTGGCCGGAGGGTAGTTGTGGTTATTTCTCTTGGGAAGACCAGCTGCTTCTAGGGGTCCACCAACATTTGCCACTCCCTCCTGGGATTGAGGAAGGTGTTTCTTTTTGCCGATACCCGGTGGATGTCACCTGGTTTGACATAAGAAGCCAGTGTCAACTTTGGAGTCTCGGGCATGTGGTTTGCTGCTACCCTACCCCTCTCCAGGATTCAGTCAGCTTGGGCAGGACTTGGTCATGCCGCCACCTGGATCGCACCTGTGTCAATGCAACCTTGCATCCCGAGAGGATATGCTGCAGGCTTGCCCTGGTGTTAGCACATAGGGAGCAGCCAACCTCGTCCCCAAGCCACCGGGTGAGGTTTAAGGAGCATGTGAGGGTATCAAAAACGCCCTTATCTGAAAGCTGAGTCTGGCTTGTGGAGTTCTCCAGATGTCTGCCCAGCTGATGCGCTTATTCACTGTAATTTATATTTTGCAATTATTGCAAGGGGGTAATGCAGAACTGGAGCAAAATATGAAGTACTGTAATGCTATTTGGCCGATCATTAAATAAATCCCACTTCAAAAACGCCTTTCTGGCACACCTTTAACAGTTGAGATGGAGTGAGATGAAGTGTTGAGGACAGAAAACGCCCGACACTAAGCATGGCACAGAGAGTACAGCAGGCCATTTGAGCAAAAAACTGTTGAAATCGATCAAAGTGTTTAATGGTAATCACGAACAGTGTACAGAGATGCCGGATTACTCTAACGTCATCTCATTCCTTGTACCCAAACCAGGCCTGATTTGTTGCAGGATCTTTGAGAAACACACTGCCCCACCCAGCTGACTCACCGCAGCAATCATCTGATTAGTTTCAGAACAGCAATCATCTGAGCAGCTTCATGATCTCATATACAGCTCAGCTCAGAGATTAACGCCTTCCTTGCAGAAGTGTAGAAGAGTCATTAAATATAAAGTTCTGTAAAATTGAGAATTCTTGTATTAAGTTACTATAATCTTCCATAATGGTTCAGGTTGTTAGGACTACAGATATGAACAGCTGCGAGTAAACCAGTGTTTTTATGCACTCATGCTCAAACGGTAATGTTTGCAATGTTTATTCTGTCCTGCCAAACATGCACCATGTTCAAAATAGTTTTAAGGCAACAGGATTACATCATCATAAACTCTCTGAACACAGTGCTATTTGAACAAGTAAAGGACTAGATTTATAAGATCAGAAGAGATGATATGTGAGCAGCGGTAATTTGTTAAGGCACGCACAATGTTAATTTTGCCACAGTGTTTTTGGCATTGTGTCCTAATAAAAAGTTCTGCAAAAGTCACAAATGCCAAGGCTTGTGTCTAAAGATTTGCCAACAAATTCCTCAAGCACATCTGTATATTCTGATTTGTTTTCAATGCTATTTGTCTAAAATATTTACCAATTATTAATTCAAGATGGAGGGAAACTCCAATGTCAAGCGAAGTAAACACGCAGTTTCTACTAGTTTGTACAGTGTTGTAAGCAGTGAACAATGCTGTGCTGTTTATTAGTTATATTCATTTAAACTATATTAGTTATATTTATGCTTAAAAATAATAACGTTACAAACACACACACACATGCTAAAAGAACAATGAAGCAGTAAATGGGTGCAATCTTTTGAAAATTTGCTGCTAATGAGTAACAGTGTTGTTGTTAACTAAAACTAAAACAATTTTAAAAAAATTAAAAAAGATAAAATAAATAAAAAAAATGTAGATTAAAAACTTAAACTTTAAATGTTGCCATGTCAATTAACTAAAAATTGTAGTTGAAGTACTAAAATCACTGAAGCTAAAACTGAAATAAAGTCAAACAGAAATATTTAAATTAGGGCTGTCAAGTTGATTAATCCTGTCCAAAATAAAAGGTTGTGTTTAAATAATATGTGTGTGAGTACAGTGTATATTAACAAATGATTTATAAATGCTCCTGTGTGCTTCTGTGTAAGCGCTCAGTGAAGAGCGTGAAGCAATGATACTTGTAGCCAATCACAGTCATATCTGTTGAGCGAAAGAACACAATGGCCAATCAGAGTCCGACTGGTACTGAAGTTGGTACTTTTGACAACACTAACATATTATTCGTAAACACAAACTTATTTTGGATGCGATTAATTGCAATTAATCAATTTGATAGCACTAATTTAAAACAACAAAAATTAATGAAAATATTAAAAGTACACATCAAAATAAAAATGAAAACTAAATAAAATAATCTAAAATAAACAAAAACATAAAAATAAACTAATAAATAAATCTAAACATAGTATATAAATAACACCAAAATAACAGAAACGGATCAGTTAGCAAATGAGGAGAAAGTAGCTTGAATCTACTTAAAATGCATAGGAACATTTTTGTACTAGTTATTTATGAATTTACAGTCTAAAAAATAAAGACCCACAGGAACCACAACTACAAAGTTAAATTGCTTTGACATAACTTCTCTTTAAACATAAGAAACAGCGGGATCTTTACCAAGTTGTCTGCATAGCAACCACTCCAGCAGTTTACATGTCCAGCTCTACATAAAACACAACCAACAGACCCCTCACCTGCCATGGACGACTGTGGTCTTCTCCACCCCTTCAGGAAGGACCACGGTGAGAGTCAGGTCCTGCTCCAGCAGGTTCTCCTTCTGCTCCATGGCAGGGTGAGGGTACGCTGGGAGCTTGTGGCTCAGCAGTGGAGCATCCAGGCCTTTCAGGACAGGAGGAGGAGGTGGTGCTTTGCTTTTCGATGATCTCCTGTTTAACAAGGACAAAACAGGTTTAAAATATGAATGGATCATCTCTTATAGTAAGAGTAATGCTCTATGGATTTTAACTCTTTTCTTGTCAGCATTTTTTTTTTTAAGTTACCAGCCACAACCAGCATTTTTCATCATTTTCACAAAAATGTCATGGCCCCTAGAATATTTTGTTGTATGAATATCTGAACATGCAATATGTCAAAAGAAAGAACAGGGAATCTGCTTTTTAACAAGAAAACATTTTGGTGCTTTGCTTTTCGATGATCTCCTGTTTAACAAGGACAAAACAGGTTTAAAATATGAACGGATCATCTCTTATAGTAAGAGTAATGCTCTATGGATTTTAACTCTTTTCTTGTCAGCATTTTTTTTTTAAAGTTACCAGCCACAACCAGCATTTTTCATCATTTTCACAAAACTGTCATGGCCCCTAGAATATTTTGTTGTATGAATATCTGAACATGCAATATGTCAAAAGAAAGAACAGGGAATCTGCTTTTTAACAAGAAAACATTTTATTCTAGCTTCATGCATTATTTTTTTAATAAACACCTGAATGTCAGAAAGTTTCATAAAACAGCAACATTCTGAACAAAAAAAAAAATATTGCATTTTTGTGAAAGACTATGTCTGGATCGGATTCAGAGCAATTATCAAAACAGAATAGATTGCTTCATCAATACCCCCAAAGATTGCACAGTCCTAAATCACTTCCTGGGTCAACATTTCATCCTGTAACTTTAGGCAGTTATGATGTTTATTGCTTGAACACCACATTAGTTTACATAAACCTCTGATTACATACGCGATTGCTTGATTCTACATCTTTGATCCAGACATTCAGTACTCTTTCAGAAGATGCATATAACAGTGAAAACCTGAAAAGTTGAAAAAATTCTGTCTCATAAATTACGGAAAATTCCGTTAATGGAGGGGAAAGAGTTAAAACGTCAGCAAAAATAACAGCAAGTTCGTAACAACATATGGGTGAGCAAAAATATCCCACATTTTCATATTTAGGTGTACTATCCCTTTAAATATGGGCCTATTTTTCTCAAAAACAATGAGATAATGGATATTTTCAATTTAAAGGTGGGGTAAGCGATTTTTCAAAAACGCTTTAGAAAACTGATTCGGGCCGAATAGCAAAACAAACTTGTAGCCAATCAGCAGTAAGGGGCGTGTCTACTCATGTGGAGGAGAGAGCGTTCAGTGCACAGGACGGACATTAGCGAGCCGAGCGACAGAAAGATAGAGATGGCAGATAAAAAACAAAAGAGGAAAACGTCTGCAGAACAAAAGAAGGCTTAAGGCAAGTAGTAGGACCCGTGTAAATATCGGATCAGCTTTCCAGCGCTGGAGAGAACTTAGGTGAGTAACACCGTGTCTGCGCCGCAACAGCTAAAGTCTGTCTAGTACACTGGACGCGACAAAGCGACCGTTGAAAATCATTTACGTCGAAATTTGTGTCAATACGTCATAAATAGAATGCAGCAGCAGTTTTCTGTCGGGGATTTGTCGTGTCGTGCCGCATCCAGTGTAGACCATATAGATATGTATATATATCTATGGTGTAGACAGCATCACTGATTATGAGTTCTATAGTATTTTGTCGCGTACAATTGCACTGAAAACGTTGCACGATGATGCCTGAAAGACATTCATTCTTCTCCACTCAAATAAGCAGTCATTTAATAAGAGAGCTTGGATGCACTTTACACACAAGTCACAAGACACTGGAGTGATGTGATTCATTCATTCCAGCGGACTAGGATGAAGCTCTGAGGAAGCCGAGGAGGAGGAGCATGGTGCTGGTCTCTTTAAATGCAGCAAGTGTTGAGAAACAAAGTCACCGTCTCAGTTTTGAGGCTGACTGCCATCACAGTTTCTGCCACGGTCTCTCTTTGAGGTCCATTAGTAATTAGTAAAAGTGTCATAATTTAGTGACCATTTTTCACACTATGTCTGATCCACGAGCCAGAAACATTGTGCACAACTTCACAAACCCAGGCGCTATGCGCAGACAATATAGCAAAAACATGGTCCTGTTGAACACACTAAATTTAGAGAAAACTGACCATGGAATCATGACTGTAAACATTAATGCATGCTATATAGCACAATACCACGAATGCAACTTGCACTGCATTATAATTTGCGGTCTGACACATTTTGGAACACAATGTAATACCAGTGTGCATTTGCATGCATGTGATTGCATACAGTACGTTTCAGGCTTTTGAACAAGCTGATTTTAGCTACTGTGACTTTAAGACTTCTATGTAAAAACCCTCTTTGCATGTGAAATAACACTCAAACAAGGCCTACAGGTCTGCGGTCACATCCAATAGTTTTTAACCCCATCCTTAAACAACAGCACATACAAAAATGTGAAAAATGTTATCTTTAGGGGTACAACAGCTTGTCACTAGGGCAGTACCCTTAAAATGACAACTTTATACCATATCTACTTAACTTAACAATATGTATCCTTAAAGGAATAGTTCACTCAAAAATAAAAAATTATCCAAGTTTTTCCATCCAAGATGCAGATGACTTGGTTTCTTTAATCAGAGCAGATTTTTAGAAATGTAGCATTCCATCACTTGCTCACCAATGGATCCTCTGCTCACTTCACAAGACACTTAGATCGACTTTGATGGACTGGAGTGGCAGGGCTCCCAACAAAAAAATCGAGGGAGGACACTCAAACAAGGCCTACAGGTCTGCGGTCACATCCAATAGTTTTTAACCCCATCCTTAAACAACAGCACATACAAAAATGTGAAAAATGTTATCTTTAGGGGTACAACAGCTTGTCACTAGGGCAGTACCCTTAAAATGACAACTTTATACCATATCTACTTAACTTAACAATATGTATCCTTAAAGGAATAGTTCACTCAAAAATAAAAAATTATCCAAGTTTTTCCATCCAAGATGCAGATGACTTGGTTTCTTCATCAGAGCAGATTTTTAGAAATGTAGCATTCCATCACTTGCTCACCAATGGATCCTCTTCTCACTTCACAAGACACTTAGATCGACTTTGATGGACTGGAGTGGTAGGGCTCCAAACAAAAAAATCGAGTAAGGAGCCATTGGCTCCTATAAGAAAATTTTTTAGGTGCCACAGAATAAACGTGTTTGATTTATTTTATTATTATTTTTTAACATTCCAATCATACTTACATGTGTTTATGTGTCATCTTTTCTTGAATTTATCAGCATTTTAATCGATCTTGTAGATGACCTGGGAACTAAGGTTCACTTAAAGTGGGAACTAAACGTCTTTTCCAACTTGAAATATATAGTCACAAAGAATTGTTAATGACACAGAATCTGTACAAATAATATGGACCATAAGCATCACTTGGCCACTGAGTGTAGTTTGGGCTCCTCCTCATTTTATTATTATTTTTTAACATTCCAATCATACTTACATGTGTTTATGTGTCATCTTTTCTTGAATTTATCAGCATTTTAATCGATCTTGTAGATGACCTGGGAACTAAGGTTCACTTAAAGTGGGAACTAAACGTCTTTTCCAACTTGAAATATATAGGTCACAAAGAATTGTTCATGACACAGAATCTGTACAAATATCATGGACCATAACAATCACTTGGCCACAGAGTGTAGTTTGGGCTCCTCCTCAATGCATCCTATAAGTGTTGTCAAATGTCTTTCACACATTCAGTCTGTTCTTCTTCATTAGTAAAATGCAATTTTATAGGAGGAGTTGAATCATGTAGATAACAGGTTAAGTAAAAATATTAACATCCAATAGCGCATAAATATAGCAAAATGCTCTTCTTTATAGTATTTTTCTAGCTAGCTGATGAGCTTATGGACACTGAATGGTTATTCTGAGGTAAATGTATATTATGTTGTAATGTTTACAAGCTTTACATGTTTTTCGCAGTTTGAAACACTGAATGAGCTTTTACATGAGACATTTCAGTAAGTTGTACTGTAGGCTTTCTTATAAAATAGGCTCAGACGAACTACCCTCATATTTATAATTCCAAACAATCAGTAAGCGACAGGTGTATAATAAAGAGCCAGGAATTTTACTCTTGATTAATTTCTCTATTGTTTAAGAACAATATCTATTCTAATTCCTACGCATTACCTCACCATGACTGTACTGCACGTGCCAAATAAGGTCAATGACGTGTAAATGTGGTGATGTGTGGCCACCTCAAACCAACATTTCTGATTTCAAATCTTTTTTTTTTTTGCAGCTTAATTTTGATTGACTCCTTTTTGGACTGGGAGGGAAAAGATCAAGGAACAGTTGATTCCTCATATGACATGACCTCTTTAAATCTTATTAGGTTTTTAGGCTAGCACTACACAACGCTGTCCAAAAACGTTGCTCAATGTGGTCATTTTTAGGTTACAGGGCATTGAACACATCAAGCCGTATTACACCATTTGAAGCTGAAGGGTTTGTTTGAATGACAAATTAATCCAAATATGATGACTCCAGAGAGACGATAAAATGACTGAACATTATGTTCATTGTTCAGCAGAACAACTGTGCATTTAGAAGTGGGCATCAAAGACACAATAAATCCCAAGCAACCATCTGCTGAAGTACTAACAGAGTTCACAAATGTCTCTCAGCAGCAGATAATATTTTATATCAATTACCTTTTTTTTTTTTTTGACATACAAGATTCCCAAAGGATGGTCAGGAATAGTCCAGGCCTGAGGAGCAGAGCGTAAACATTGCGCAGGAAGTTGGGAAAGCCCCTGAAATGTGTCCATTAGCATAGCGTGTTATGTTTGAGGTGGCTACGGCAGGCCAAAGTAAACACAGGGGTTTCTGACATGGTAAGCAGACACACTCATGACTTTCAAAACAGACGTTTCAAATAGCAAACGTCCCATTAGTGTCAACCAAAGTGCACATCAACCTACATCTAAAGATTTATTTGTATAAACGGCAAAATGTTTCTCTTTAAAGGGGTCATATGATGCTGCTAA